AATAATAATAAAATAAATAATAAAATACAATATCAGAATAATAAACTAATAAAATAATAAACTGTTCTATAACACCATGAAATTTCTCTATTTAAGCTAATTTACCAAATTAATTTTTATATATAGCCTTGAAGCTAAATTAAGTAATCAAATTAAAATAGCAGATAGAGGTTGTAAATTTTTAATTAGAATTAACAAGTTTTTGACAATTTTAAATGAATGTCTTTGAAACAAAAATTCTTATCTTACATAACTTGTTTGATTACTATATAGTATCTTTCTATTTTGCTTTTCATGTAAAATCACAAAATTCAGTTTTAACTCTCATAAAAGGAATCTTAAATATTATTTGATTAAGATTTGTTTAAACTTTAATTTTTTGAATAATATAAATAAATTAAATTAATACTAAATAAGTAAAAATTAGTTATTAAATAGATTTTATTTCTTTAAAATAAAATAAAATATATATTGCTGCTCAATTGATTCATATAATTGATATAAAGATTATAATACTTTCATACCTAATATTTTATAGTTAAGCTAAATACAAATATTTGTATATAATCTAGAATGCGAACTTCTTATTCAAGCATCTGGCTTGATTCTATTTTTGCTTATTATATTTTTATAAGCATTGTTGATTGTTATAAAAACCTTAAAAAAAATTTCTTCTTCAAAATAACCAATTCCAGCTTTTTAAATTCTTGTTTTTAAGTTTTCATACATCAAACAACCAATTTGAGATTGTGTAATGATAAACAAAACTCTTTGAAAAAGTATATTAATTATGATTAGTATCTAAAACAAGAAAAAAAATCACTTAACTTAATAATTTAAAGTTCCTGATAACAATCGAATAAACAATAGAACATATATATATATATATACCGATCTTAATGTGAAATACAAACCTTATTTTCTCTATCTTTTAAAAAAAAAAAAAAATAGAAAATGAAAATTTTTTTAAAAGTTATAACCTTTTGATTCTGAGTATAACAATGATCCTAAAAATTATAATAATTCTGAAAATTATAATAGTCCTAAAAATTATAATAGTCTACTTGGTGATAGTATTTCAGATCTAAATAGTCAGGTTTCTCAAGAAACCAATATTGATTTGCTATCTTAATGTAATTATATATCAAGAAGAAAAGTCAAAAATTTAACCATTTGGCCTTATTTTAACATTGATATAACTACTCACCTGGTGCACCAGTATGCATATGATGTAATAAAGTTTTTTAAGCAAAACCAGGATTTCATCTTTGCGAAGATATCTAAATAGACGCAATATTAATGTACTAGCAAGATGCCAAATTATTTTTAATTTTCCCAGAACTGATCTACATAATGATAATGAACAAAAGAAAAGAGATAAGAAATTAATTACTTGGATTATCACAGATTAACAACTATTTACTATTGTTAAAAATTAGTATTTTAATGAGTTTATTAATTTTTTTGACCTATATTATATAGCATCAACAAGACAAACTGCAAAAAAAATAATAATAGATGAATTTGAAATCAGACAAAGTAAATTAGTTAATGATATTGCAAGAATTCTCAGAAAAGTTTTATTGACTGCAGATATGTAGACATCTCAAAATTTCAAAGCATTCTTCGGCATTACTATTCACTATATTGATACTGATTAGAAAATACATCATTTTCTTTTAGATATTATTCTATTTACTGATAAACATACAGGTATAAATATAGCAGATGCTATTAATAATTTTCTTATTGAATTTAACATCAAAAATAAAATATTAGCACTTACTACAGATAACGAGTCTGTGATAATTGTTTGTAGAAGGTTAATTGTACAAGAATTGCAATATGAACTAGATAATATTAAATTTTTCTATTACTGCTATGCAGCCTACGTACTCAACTTGACTGCCAAACAAGAGCTTGAAATAGTCAATCCTTCAATAGAGAAAGTTTAAAAGTAAATATTAAAAATCAAAGTATTTACTCGTCTTTATAATAATTTACGTGGATTATGCAAGCTTAAAAGAATTCTATATCTTAAACCCGAGTTGGATATAGAAACTAGATGGAACAGCACCTACTATATAGTACAAAAAATACAAAAAATAGAAACAGCTCTTAATTTACCATCAGTTTATCCATTTATTATATCTGAATATTGATGAACAAAGATTAAAAATAAGTAAAATTTTATAAATTTAAATATATGTCTTTTGTTAGGCCATACAAAGTTAATTTTTTGGTTTTTATAATATAAAATTTGAAAAATAACCTGGCAACATGACTTTTAATTTTATTTTCAAAAAATTTTTATATATAAAAATCATATAAAAATTTTTATAAACTTCTAAAAAAAACTTCATCCAAATAGTAAATATAGTCAAAATTTTTTTTAAAAATTTTGCAAAGTTTGACCCAGCCAGGTTATAAGAACCAAATTATTAAGTTTGTATAGCCTTATAATAAAGATTATAATAAAGTATACAAATCTTAATAAAAATCCTCAAAGTCTATAATAATAAGAAATCTATACTATATTATTATAAAAATATAACTTGTATAAATCAATAATCATAATATCAATTTTAGAATGTGCTTACTTTGTTAGAACCAATTGAAGCTGCTATAAAATTACTCTCTACAATATCGTATCTAACTATAGGTAACATTCGTTTAGTGTTTTTGGATATTCAAGATTTTTTAGATAAGTATATTGGACAAGAAGAATTTTCTCAAAGCATGGTCACTGCTTCCATTTATTAAAAAATAAATGAATATTTAAATATTATAAATAAATCTTCTATCATTTCTGCTATTCTCGGTCCTCATAATAAATTAAAGATATTCAACAAAACTGAAGTTATTAATACCAAAAAGGCAGTTCAAAAGATCATAGATCAATATATAGATCACCAAATTTTATCTGCTCTTAACAATACTAAAGAAAGTCAAATTAAAACCACTCAAAAATTTTTTTGGGATTTGCAAAACAAATTAGAGATAAAAAAATATCTGATTAAATGATTGATAATTCTTTTGAAGAATCTTCAACCACAAATACCAATGAATTAGACTATTATATTATGTCTGAACCTATTAAAGAAAATACTGTTCTATTAGATTAGTGGAAAACTAATAAAAATATCTACTTTATTCTTTCAAAAATCATATCTGACTATTTGAGTATTCAAGCTATCAGTATAGTATATAAGCAAGCTTTCTTTGTAGCTAATAATACTATTTCAAGAACCTGCAATTGACTTCATTCTAAAATAGCAAAAGCATATCTCTGTATTAAGAGTTGGATCAGTAATAGAGTAGATGAAATTTGAATAAAAATAGTATTGATAGTTCAATACTTAAAATATTGAAAGATTAGCTTGTATAGGTACTTAAAAGTATTTTTTTTTTTTTTTTTTTTTTTTTAACGTCTACCCTCTTGGGAGCTGGTATTTTTATTTAAGTATATATAGCAAGGAGTTCTCTAGGGAACCCCCTATATTATTAGAGTAGAATTTAGCGATTATTAGCGATTACGCTTAATGATTAACGATTAACGATTAACGATTACACTTT